TATACAAAGGCCCTGACTCCCCTATGAACTTAAAATAGTCCATCAGATTGCTTCACTTCTTAATGCTGATTTTTACCTATCAGTGCTGCCTAAAGAAACTTAAATGAATAGAAAAAAATCTATTTCTCCATTTTGCAAATTCTTTACTCACAAACTGCTATGGAATTGTTGTTTTCAATTGTGCAACCTTCCTTCTATATTTCCAATGGAAACGGAGAAAAAAGTCAACTTTTGGAGATTTTTTTTATGGCCTGGCAGAGTGGATCACCTGTGATCCTAGCACTGTGGGAAGCTGAGGCAGGTGGATTACCTGTGCTCTGGAGTTCGAGACCAGCCTGAGCAAGAGTGAGACTGTCTCTAAAAACAGCTGGACACTGTATGGGTGCTTGTAGTCCCAGCTACTCAGGAGGGATCAAGAAGATCACTTGAGCCTGAGAGTTTGAAATTGTTGTAAGCTATGATGCCATGGCACTCAACCAAGAGTGGCAAAATGAGACTCTCAAAAAAAAAAAAAAATTTTTTTTTTTTAGATTTTTTCTTTCTTTCATCTGAACACTAGTTGACACAATTGTGTTATCCAATACTTTCTTCTACCCAGCATACATCTACTTATTACCTTCAGATAAGGTACTATGCCAGAGATTGGGGAGGTTGATATAATGAAGCATTTAAAAATTCTCCTTTCAAAATGCACATAGAGTATTGAGGAAGATAAAATATGCAATAAATAATAATAAAATGAAGTAAAAAGTGATGGTTTATTTTTTAGAAAAGGTAAACTTACTTTATTTCTCAAGAATAACTGTAGTTTAGGAACCCAGATTCAGGAAGTATTTTATAAGTTAGTTGGCTTTTATCCTTGGGAAAACTTTTCTAAGAATAGAATTATTAAGAGTAGAAAATATTAAAAGTTGATATAATGGGTGCCTCTGTAGGCAGGCTTATGTTCTCTTACTTTCTTTTTTTTTTTAAGACAGAGTCTCACTTTGTTGCCTTTGGTAGAGTGTGATAGTGTCATAGTTCACAGCAACCTTGAACTCATGGGCTCAAGTGATCCCTTGGCCTCAGCCTCCTGAGTAACTGGGACTACCGGTGCCTGCCACAACACCCAGCTATTTTTGGAAATGGGGTCTGGCTCTGGCTCAGGCTGGTCTCAAACTCATGAGCTCAGGTGATCCACCCGCCTTGGCCTTGTAGAGTGCTAGGATTACAGGTGCCCAGCCTTCAGGCTTTTATTTTCACAGAAGACATTCTGTAAAATTAAATACATTGTAAATTATTATTAAAAATGAAACAATGTAACTTTTTAAAAGAAAAAGCTACAGTTAAAAACTGTCAAACAAGGATTTATAAAAAATAAAGTTGTAAGTATGAGTACCAATATCTCAAGGACAGTATCACAGAGATTTATAAACCTCTGCAAACCTGATGACACAGATGGACTCTTTTCCCTACAGGGAGAGAGTTACAAACACAAATGTACACATAATTTCAGGCACTTATGGGATAGGACTTCTGAAATACATCCCTAAATCCCAGTTAAGAAGAGCTAATCTAAGATATTAAGAGACACAAAAATGATGCTACACGTTATTCATTTAACAGAGAAGTATAGGGGATACAATGGTGAGCAAAAATTCAGTCAGATAGAAGGGATAAGAAACTTCTCTAACACACTAACACATACACTCTTAACACATGAAGCAGCACAATTACACGTGCTAAAGAAAAAAAGTAAATGATGCTACAGGGGTAAATGAAAGTCAGGAATGGTTTCTCTAAGAAAGTGATAAATGAAATACGAATCAGTACTAAATAGGACCACTGAGAGAAAAAGGAGATTCAGGCAAAAGGAACAGCATGTGCCAAAGATCTGTAAGGGCTGCGCTGGTAGCAGAGAAAAGTCAGCACAGGTGAAGTGCAGAGATTGAGGGAGACAGTAATAATAGAAAGTGGAGCGCTTGCCCTTGTTTGAATGGGTCTTTACTAAAACCAACAGGAAAACACCAAACGGGTTTTGAGCAAAGCAGTAGCATAAGTGGATCTATGTTTTGATGAGAGCACTCCAGCTTTTAAAGTCTGAAAAGAGTCCACGTAAGTATTTGGGAGACTGGTATAGTAGTTCTGGTCGAAAATATAATCTGAACTGGAAAAGAACACTGTAAATTTTTGCTCACTACTATCACATAACCCTTTTCAGATAACACTCCTCTTGGAAGTCATTTTCTGCCCATTTTCTATAAGTCAGTTTCTCTTAATTTCCATGAACTATTTTATAGTAATGATAAAATGCTTTGTCACATATTTTCCTTCCTTCCTTCCTTAGATGGGTTCTTGCTCTGTTGCCCAGGTTGGAATGCAGGGGCATGCTCAGAGCTCACTGCAGCCTTACATTTCTGGATTCAGGTGATCCTCCCATCTCAGCCTCATGAGTAGCCAAGACCATAGCATGTGCCACCATGCCTGGAAAATTTTTAAAATTTTTCGTAGAGACAGGGTCTAGCTGTGTTGTCTAGACCTGTATCAAACTCTTAGCCTCAAGCAATCCTTCTACCTGGGTCTCCACAGTGTTATGATACAGTTGAGAGCCACTGCACCTGGCTGATGGTCTGTTTTTCTTTGGTATGTTATTCTATTCAATTTTTATGTAGATAATTTTTTTCCTCTTTGTAGTTTTCTCATCTATTTTAATTATAACATCCTCCATTGGCTCTGCTTTTATTCTGTCCTTTTTAGCCTCTTCACAGTACATTTTAGACCAGGCATCCTCAAACTGCGGCCTGCCTAGGACATTTATCCAGCCTGCTGGGTGTTTTTTGCCTCTGCTGCCTGTCATGCTTAGCAGCCGACTTGTCTCGGGGCCCACAGTCCGGCCCTCCAATGGTCTGAGGGACAGTGAACTGGTCCCCTGTTCAAAAAGTTTGAGGACCGCTGTTTTAAATGTTACTGTGAAGTATGTACACTTGCTGATTTGATAAATTTATTCCATCATCCAGCAAACATTTTTAGAGCATATATGTTGCAGATGAGAAGATACAAAAACATGAGAAGACAGAGGCCAGGAAATAAGTGTTTCCAGAGTAGAAAATACTTTGGTTCCACAAAATATTAGCACCTAACCCAGATTGAGGTGAGTTAGTGAAAACTTCATAAGGGTCAAATTTTGACTGTTTTGAAGAAGCCTGGAAGTTAGGGAAGTGTTAAAAAGCAAATTTTAGGTCACTGACTCCCTATTATTTCCACCATCAAAGTCATCTTAAAATTGGACAGGAAACTCATTAGACTTGAATCCCCTGATTTATCACTCCACTCTGAATAAGATCTTTTAAACATCACAGGTAGTCTAATGGTAAAATAGCCCACTAAATGTTGCTGGCACAGAGAACAAGCTTAATATATGTTTAGAAATACTATTTTCTTTTTTTTTGGACACCAAGTCTCACTTTGTTGCCCTCCATAGAGTGCGTGGCATCACGGCTCACAGCAACCTCAAACTCTTGGGCTCAAGTGATCCTCTTGCCTCAGCCTTCCCAGTAGCTGGGACTGACTGCAGGCTCATGCCTCAATGTCTGTCTATTTTTAGAGATGAAGTCTCGCTCTGGCTGAGGCTGGTCTTGAACCTGTGAGCTCAGGCAATACACCTGCCATGGCCTCCCAGACTGCTAGGATTTACAGGTTTCCCTCTTTAATATAACCTGTATTCTACTACTTACGGAAATCCAAACTCAATCTGGCAGCAAGAAGTAATATACTTCAATTTTACTTCTTACTGCATACCACAAGTCCTCATCAAGAAAGAGTTACCCACCTTTACACCATCCAAGAAGTTTCTTACTCCTACCCCTTTTCTAATTACAGCAGTCCTCCTGCCTGGAATGTCTTCCTCCTTTACTGAATCACTGACTGCATTGCCTGTGTGATATTCCTGAAGACCAATGACGAACATCACCCAGTTCATTTTGCCTTCTTTGTAAATTTTCCTTTCCTAATGGTCTTTTGGGGTACTTTCCATACATCGTTCTGTTTCATACGTGGCTTTTGTTTCCTGCTTGAGCACAGGTTACTAGAAAATATAGGCTCGGCGCCTGTGGCTCAAGTGGCTAGGGGGCCAGCCACATACACCTAAGGTGGAGGGTTCCAATCCAGCCTGGGGGCGCCAAACAACAATGACGGCTGCAACCAAAAAAAATAGCCAGGCGTTGTGGCGGGCGCCTGTGGTCCCAGCTACTTGGGAGGTGGAGGCAGGAGACTCGCTTGAGCCCAGGAGTTGGAGGTTGCTGTGAGCTGTGAGTATGGCGTTGAGCAGAAGCAGAAACCGGAAAGAGTAAGGCAGAAATGGTAGCCTGGAGAAGGTGGTGAGAACAAACATTGGATGAGACTGAATTTAAGAAAGAACCACAAAAAGAGAACTGAGGACAGCAAGCATTAAGCATCTCTTTCTTGAAGTTTTGCCGTAAACGGAAGCAGATAAATGGGACAGTAACTGAGGGTGCATTACTAAGCGTCTGAGAGTACACCGTCTAATTCAAGATAAGCATTTCTTTTAGAAGCAACAGCTCTTAATTCTTCCCTATCATTTTCTACAGTCAGTAGAAAGTAGATGTGTTCATAAAGTTTACTAAGGGCCAGGTACTTGCAATCACACACTTCACATAACTTAATTATCGCAGCCACCCTGTGACAACTATCAACAACTTCGTTTTACAAACAAGAATACTGTACATCGAGATTAAATGATTTCCCCAAAGTTCCCAACGGTAAAATTCGCGGGGCCTGAGAACCAAAATTATGTCTCGTGCTTCAGTCACCCACAAACCGAGAAGGGGAATTACCGGTGGCCAAACTCTGAGCTCAGGAAAATCAGCCCGGGGCCACCAGAAAGCTCCTCCAGAGCACAGGCTCCCCCACCCTCGGCCAGACCCCGCGTCTGTCCGCAAACGCGGAGAGTCAGGTTTTCAGGACCCCGGTGAGCCCACGGGTTCTCAGATCTCGGCGCTCACCTCGTTATTGAGGTTCAGAGGTCCGGCCTGGGCCATGGCAGGTCAAGGAACAGGATGCGCCGGCACGCGAACTTGCCCGTCCGCCCGCCGCTGCGTCGCCACGCCCCCGACGGAAGCCTCTTCTGCCCAAAACTCATGCGCCCGTCTGCTCGAGCCGCCGACTCGGTAGAAAGGGTGCAGAGGCCTGGCGGGGAAAAACGGAAGTGAGAGACAGCAACTTCCGGCGCAGAGCGTGACGCGCCGGAATTGCGCGTTCCTATGGAGACCGGGCGAGGGCGCGGTGCCCAGAGAACGTGGGGTTAGTTAATGTTGGTTGCATTAATGTTTCGGTTTTCAGGATGTTATGTTTGTCTTCCACTTAGAATAGTTCTGACTGGTAGTTGCCTTGGTATTCTTTTGGTTTGATCTGTTTCCTCACAAATAGCTTTAATTGCTGACCTGTTTGACTCCTATTTGCTTGAAAGTAGTTTTGCCATTAGATTATACACTGAGTTACAATCGTTTCTTTCGTCTACGTCCCTCATTGAAGTTGAGATCCTGGAGTGTAGGAGCTTTATCAGCTCCACGTGAGTGGTAGGCACTTCTCATATGGATACATAGGAAAGAATGCCAAATAAGAGAGTTAGATGTAGAGCTCTATGGAAAGTGTGTCTTTTAGAATAGGAGAAAGGTGTTAATATGTCCCGTAATGTTTAAGAGAGTGTATTATTAATACACAATTTTTCTATAGTTCTTCAAAGCTCTTTACTGTATCTTTTGCTCCCCCCCCACAGCAAGTTTCCAAGACAGCATAGGCCCCTCCAGATCAGCATTTGTTCTCTTTCTTAATCCATGCTTTTTCCTTCTCCTATGATGCTTCCTCTGCCACATTTGCTTTCTCCAGTGCTACTACTCAAGACCAGGTCAAACTCCTTCCATCCTTTTGAAGAATTCTTTCTGCAGCTTCCAAGAGAAGTTAATTTTTCTCACTAGCAGTTCATAACTTACAGCATTTATGATCACCTACTTTCATTTGAAATTACTTGGGTATTACTGACTGTTATTTTATATGAAATTCTCAGCAAATTTAGACGTTCTGTTTTTATTAAT